ATCAACAACCTTCTTCTTTTTTTTAGATTGCTTCATCTTTTGGAATAGGTGGCGCCACTACTGTACCACTTCGAAGAGTGATGGAACTAACATTCTTTATTAGATTTACCTCGGTTTGAGATAGAAGTTTACATTGTGATTCCAAGCGACCTACGGTTTGAGCCAGTTGGCTCATCTACTTGTCTATCTGTTGGAAGTGGGATTCAATACGAATCTGGAATTTTTCTTAGGAAAGTGTTAATCTCTCGACAATTGACTCCAATGATGTCTTCTGCGACTATTGTGGTCGTGGAGGTGGTCTCGCTTGATAACCTTGATTCGACTTTGTGTTTTGAGCATAACTAAAATTCGGATGATCCCTCCATCCTGGGTTGTAAGTATTGTCGTATAGATTATAAGCTCTTTGGGAAGGTCCTAGAAAGTTCTCGACTGCATTGACTTGAGTCATTGTGTCATCTTGGATCAGTGGACAAGCGTCTGTTGGATGATCAAGTAATGCACATATTCCATATAATCTGTTTGGTCTTGTCTTTCCTACAATAAGAGAGTTGACTACTTCACTTAACCTATCTATCTTACTTTCCAATGAAGATGAACTTATCTCATGAACCCTTCGAGGAGGTTCATTAGTTGTGTGGAACTATTGGGAATTTGCGACCATTATGGAAATTAAATCCCTAGCCTCAATAGGAGTCATGTTCACCAAAGCTCCTCTGTTGGTAGCATCGATCATCTTCATTTCCAAGGGAGTTAATCCTTCATAAAAATATTGAATGAGTGTTTGCTCAGTTAACCCATGTTGTGGGCAACTAGCACATAACTTTTTAAACCTCTCCTAGTAGTCATAGAGTGACTCTCCATCAAGTTGCTTGATTCCAAGTATTCTCCTTCGTAGTTCACTTGCTTTCGCCGCTAGGAAAAACCTGTCAAGAAAAAGACAAGTCATTTGAGCCCATGTAGTAATAGAATTTAGGGGTAAATAAAATAACCACTCCTTAACCGATTGGCTAAGGAAAAAAGAAAAGCTCTAAGTTTGATTTGATCCTCAGTTACTCCCTGTGGTATCATGCTGAAGTAGACTATGTGAAATTTCGTGAGATGTTTATGTGGATTATCGTTGGGTAATCCGCGGAAGGTAGGGATGAGATGAATAAGGCCAGTTTTTAACTGGTATGAAGTTTCACATTGGGAAAAATCAATGCACAAAGGCTCTTGTTTAGTAGGTACCGCAACTAACTGTCTGATAGTATGATCGGCCATTGGAATTGGCTTTGTATGAACGAATTCACCTGAATTTGATTCTGAATTCGATTCTGGATCTGATTGTTGTCTCATTCTTTCTCGAAGCGTCTGTGCGTGAAGTCTCCTAGTTCTTGCTTCAATTTTTGGGTCGTACTCCACTAATTTCCCCGAATTTGTCCTGGTCATAAATTAAAAACAAACAAAAATTAGTAACTTTGGCGAAGTCCCCAGCAACGGTGCTAATTTGTAGTAAAGAGAAGAAAGGGTTGGTTCCACAGGGACTTAAAAAATTCTTTCTATCTGAATTGTTTATACCATGCTTGATATAGTGAATGAGGCGTTTTTGGTAAAATGAGAGTAAATAGTAAAAAGAGATTAAATAAATAAAAGCAATTAAAGTAAAAATAAGAGAATAAAGATTGAAAATTAATACGGTAGAAACAACCTCAAGCCAAATTTTGACTCAATTTCCTTCAGATCATTGAATTAGATTTTTCCTTCGGGATTCACATCGGTTACTTTGTCTACAAGGGCAATCCTCGTAACTCCATTTTGTATACCGAATACCCAAGGCAGTCTTTGATTCTGGCTTCGAAAACTGATTTGATCAATATCAATTGTTGTAAATTAATTACCGTTTAAGTTCGTGGCGATCGATTCGGATTGTTGTTTCAATAACCATTAATTCTGATCCCAATTCCCTCTTGGCAAGGCTATCTCACCAAGTGTGTTCCCAGGAAGTCGAATGTGCTTTCAATTAGTCGATCCTTCCTCCCACACATTTAATCGCAACAACATCTTGACCAAAGTCAATCTTTGATTTTGAAAACTGTTTTGATTTTGAAAAATAAGCACAGAGATTGAGAATGATATTATGAAGTTATTAAGGGTCATTTTTAATTCTCCCGTTGGAATTGAGTCATCGCTTTAGCTCTCGGCTTATGAGAAAATTAGCTAAGTGTGACAAAATTCATACTTAGCATTTTAAAAACAAGCTTAAAAATAAAAGGGAAAACCGAAAACTTGAAAAATAAAATAAAAGAGAAAGCTTTAATAAAACTAGAAACAAGAATAAGATTGTAATCTGAGTTGTTGTCTTTAGGCTTACCCCAAGAGGGTATTTATAGTCTCTAAAAACCTAGAGATAAACTAAGAAATTAAAATAAAATAATCCTAAAGATAATTGTTTTTTTCTAAATTAAAACTTTAAAATAATTCTCCTAATGTAACTCTGCTCGTCCATCTTCCAGAAGGCTCGCTGTCTATATCTTCTAGAAACTGTCACTAACTGAACCTTCTGAAAACTGTCACGTCAAACCGTGTCATGCCCAGAGTCGTGCCTGTGTCTCCAGGCGTGAACAAATAATAAAAAAAAGCAGAATGTGCCTATTTTACCACTAAGTCTGGAAAGTAAGACTCTGCACGAAAATAAGCATAACACAACCAAATCAACAGCAATAAATCCATAAGATCGAGGAATTAACGAGCAAATAATACCGATTCTTAACATTCATCAATGTACAATAACACACAAGTATATTCATTTTTTTATTAAAAAAAGGGTAAAAAGTACAACTATATATAGAATGGTAACTTGACCTATGGGTATAAGTTCAGGGCAAATGTAGCCTTTATCCCACCTTCAGTTTCATATGTGTAGGCAACAAATACATTCAAATTACAAGGTTGATCTAGAATAGTATCCAAACTCGTGTGGTTTTGTGTCGAGGAATAAAGTGTTTTTCTTGCTTCCGGCCGATGCATTCTGCAGCCGAACTCTCACTTACCAAAGGCCTGTATTGCAAGGTGTGGCATATCAGCCTCTTTTCTTTTAGAAATCAGTTTCAGCTGAAACTTGTGTAACAAATATTTATTGGAACAATGATGTGGACTCTCGTCTTACTTAGTTTTGAGTATTAAAATAATATGGATTTCTTCCAACTTAGTTCCATGTTTTAATAATGATATTGTGTTCGCATGAGACGGTTGGTGTGGAGGGGACGTTCTTCGCTTTTCATTGACGAAGAAATTGGTAGTAGCCATTGTACACAAAGGTATTTTATTAATCCAGTATCTTTGGTAAGTCTTTATGGGGTTAGGTGTATTTGTCCATCCACGAGGAGTTTTCTCTGCAGTATGAAAAATAGTTGCTACTTACCTATATTTTTGGTTTTCATTTTTCTTATTTTCATATTGGGTGGTTACTTGTAACTTTATTGGGGATGCAGTGGAGAGTTACCATGATCAAAAATTGCTGCTAGTACACCATTTATGTATATGGTTTTTTGTAGGACAGTATTTTCTTGAGTTGAAAGAGAATTTTAATAGTTATGTCTGACTTATGTTATCTCACCTCTCATTCTTTATTTCATATTCACAAGAAGTTGGATTCGGTCTGATCGATTTTCACTGCATGGCATAATCTGATGTGGCTACCTCGGCTGTAAGTACTAGTGTTCTTTTTAGTGCGTGTGTGATTTACGTGATAGGTTCTAGCATGGAATTTGAATGGCAAATTAGTGCATGAAGAAGAGATTATTTGTCTCCACACACACAGACATATACATACTATCTAAAACATTCCACCGAAATATGATGTGATTGATGAACACTTATGGGGCAAATGTTATCATGGTGGTTCTGAAATTATGATTGTAGGTTGCTTTTGGGTTATGGAATTCTTTCAGAATTATGTTTGCTCTGACCTTTTCCCCTTCATTTTCCCTTTAGTATCCATGTCCAAACTCTCATGGATATTTTTTTTAATATAAAAAAAGTGAATAAACGTATGTTGGACGCATTCATATCTTTAACATAAAGGTTGGTAGGATAGCAGGTAAACGACACGTGGTAATTGCTTGTTGTTCGTGGGTACGCTCCGCATATATGCATTTCTAGAGCTCGCATTCACATACATAAAGGTTCGCACAAGTAGTACGTTCGCACACCCGGAGGTTCATGGAACTAGAGGTTCAAAGGTAGTAACACTTGTCCCTAGGTGAGTGAAGGTTATAAAGTGACAATTGTAATGTGTTCAATCCACGCTCACCGTATTAATTACTAAAACTCCGAATGAATCCTAAATATCAACTTATCACTATTAACTTCATTTAAACCTCGTATAAAAATAATAATCAATTAATCCCTTCTACATGAATGAAACATGGAAATATTATAGATTTGTTTGTCCTGAGAAAAAAAAAGCAACAATCAATGTGATCAATCTCAATGAAGTGACTTGAATGATTATATTTTAGCTATAAATTATCGATTGGGTAAATCTTTTCCATGAGGGTATGGTTAATTTTTTATTGAGGTCTTTTTACCCCCACTATGTAGGGTACCCTTTGTTATTTTTATTGTGTTAATTTTAAAGTATTTAGTTATATATATTTACAAAATCATAATATAGTTCATATTTAGGTTTAAAATATGTACTAATATGTATAGTCCAAAAAAATGAACTATCATGTAGTTCGAGAAATTCTAAATAGTTCATCTGACTTTTTAATTAATTTTTACTTCAAATAATTAAGCTAAGAATTGATTTAGAGGCTAAAAAAATAACAGTGACATAATAAAAAGACCTTTCTATTACGCATATAAAAAAAGCACCATACATGACTTAAATTAACTTAGACATTGAAAGACATATAAATGGGGACGGGGCTGTTGGAGGAAGACTTGAACACAAGTCATTTATTACCCAACTTCCCTTATTTTGATATTAGTAGTGCATACAAAGCATCATTTTTAATCAAGACAGAAGGAGATCAAGCTTCCTCGAGTTTTGCATTCAAGTTTGGCTTAACGCTGGTTGAATCAATTTCAAGACTTGACTTGAATCCGAGATTACTCGCTGCAGCACTGTTGGTAGCCTTTTTCAGTTGTACATTGATGTTGTCCCAATTAATAGGACTGTCAGTAGTAATCTCAGTATAGACCTGCAGTTGGAAGAGATTTAATTTATGTGAAATTTGGTTGAATTATTTCGTTACTAATAACAAAGAATAAGAAACAACAGATTGGATCTTATTGACGAGTTTGGTATAAAAAATGCATACCTTATTCACTTCATTTACCCCATTCCTCCAGGCAACAACCCACTTAATGTTTTGTTTGATAACAAACACAGTTCCGCCGATGGAGGATCCGACATTGGAATCGGCCAAGTGTTGAAAATACCGTGTCTGATGCGCCGGAACATTTAGCGGCTGATTTCCGGATCCATACCAATCTTTCTTGTCGAACGTGCTAAAATCTTGATCGGTTTGATTGTTCAGATACACCTCTGTAGATATTGCAGGACCAACCTTGCTTGGAGCAGCCATGTCTTCTCTTAGTTTGATATTTGCAAGTACCTTATGCTATTGGTTTGGTTGTGTAGTGGTCTACTACAAACCCATATATATATACTAGTTTCCAGCCCAGTAGATGACAAAAAGTTGTTATAACTATATTTCTCACATGTTGGTTTTACTTTAATTATTTATCATGTGGTTGTTGTAACTATAATATGCTCTTTTTTAAATATAAAATGCTGTGTAAATATATTAGCATTTTGTCTAGTTAGTTCATTGTTTAATTACCATTAAACAAAATATTTACAGTTTAATGGTAAACTGTAAAATAATTAAAGTAAAAAAATTTGAAAAATATAGGATGTTAATATCCCATATTTACAGTTTTCAACTGTAAAATAATTATGGTTACAACCACCACATGTAAAATATGGGATGACAAAATGCTATTGTTTTGATTTTCGTAAACCATATTTTCCAATTTACAGTTTCCAAATGCATGTTTTCTAAATTGGAAGCATACCTGTAAGTCATAATCCTTGCACCAACCAATATTGTAATCGTTTTCATCCCCGCATTCATAGATCTGTAGACAAATACAACGTTGCTGATGGTTCATCCCACTAGTTGCACAGTTGGAATACAACAGTTACAAAGTTGTATGCAATGGGAGCTCTGCAGACAAATACAAAGCTGTGCAGTGAGCAGTGGGCGCATCTGCAGAATAATGCAGTTTTCCAAGAAAAAAAAAGCACTAATAGAAGTATTTTAAGCATATGAGTAGTAGCTATGATAAACGCCACAAAGAATAGCAACTTATCAAAACAAATAGTAATTACAGGCACGTAAAATTCATTAGCATTGTTATAGACAGTAGCTCAGGGTTTCCAATTTTAGACATGAGCTAACAAAGAATCAATGAAGGTGGCCATTCTGAGTTTGGTTTCACGAAAAGTATTTGTAATTGATCACCTGAAGTTGACTGCATCCAAATTCATATCTTCCAAGGTCATTCAGGGTAAATATAATTCCTTAGCATTGTAATAGATAGAAACTCATGCTTTCTGGTTCTAGACATGAGTTAAGTAGGAATTAAAGAAGGTGACCATTCTGGGTTTAGTTTCATGAAAAGGGTCCGTAATTGATCGCCAGGAAGTTGACTGCACCAAATTCATATCTTCCAAGGTCCCAGTTTCAGATGGTTGCAAATCCATAGTTATCATAAACATGACTGAGGCCAAAAAAATACGAGACGACATCTACCAAATAATGCATGCATTTATCAACGGGCGGCAACTGGTTGGCATGGTAGTACTTGGAAAGCAAGTTGAATCCTTACCAGCCATTGTTCTCCCAATACTTGTTATCGATCCATTTTCATCAATGGCATCAATCAGATGCAGTTGCTTTAAAGCATCTTCTAATGACTCGGCTGCAGTTAAACCAAAGATTCAATATCTTGCAAAAGCTGAAAGAAACATCAAGTCATCGACTTACTTGCTAATTTGGACAACATCAAGGGAGTACATTCCAGTTGCTGCGTTGTATTGATGTGTTGATGTTGCTTCACGTAACCAGAATCAATAACATACCTAGAAATATAATGATAATTAATTTAGAGAGAATCAATCAACATATCATTGCTATTGATCTTATTAACTGAGACCAAGTGCAAAAGCAGGTGGCAGAATTAGGTATACATTACAATTGATCACAGTAATATTGTTACCATCGGATCATATCTTAATACTCAGCAGAACCCTTAAGACCAAATCTTAGTGACTTCATCTGGGTAGAAAATTGTAAAATTAAGAAGCAAAAAGGAAAATGAATAAAGGATAGTAAACCAAACTATAACATTGATATTTCAATAAAATAATTATGAAACATTCTACCATTGATGTGTTTGATCATTTATATAATTGAATATATAATACAATGGCGGAAAGGCCTTCCACTAGATATTCAGAATAGCCTTGTCTCTGCTATGTCTCTATTTTACATAAGTATTTGGACATGGAGACCAAGGACTTCACCGCTTCTTGGTTTATAGTTGACCATTTATGCTAAACACCGGCGATTTGCAAGCTGATGGCATAATTTGCACAAACATGAGCATTGGCCCGTTTCCAGAGCCCAGTGTATTGTAGCATCATATCCGTGAGTATAAATAAAGTTATTCCGAGCGGACGAAGCTGTGGGAGGAAGTGAAAGCTCGATAACTATGGGTGTTATCATATTAGTCGTGGTATACAAAGATGGATCGAGAGAGCGGATGGAACTGATCGCCTTTTAATAAATTTAAATTTTAATATAATTTAATTACTTTTTTATATTTTTATTGATAATCTAATTTTGGTTCCCTGGAACCATAAAATCATAATGTATTCGAGTATGTGAACATGTTCTTAAGGCTTAGGCAGGAAGGCCCTTACAGAAGTTTCGACACTCTTTCCCAAATTCGTAACTATAAGAATAGATCCTTTCAGTTTCGATCAATAAGAGAATTATTTTCAGATTCAAAGCATACATTCTTAGCAAACAAAGGAGGAATCTCAAGAAAAACAATACTTAGGGGTTCGATTCAATCACTAACAATAACTCTACATATCAATAAATGCACATCCAATTACTGATAACCCAGTTCAAGAAATTATATATAAAAAGGCTTAATATAAAAAAGTGCATAAATTATACACTTTTTCTCATTTTTGTGTCTAAATTTTTTTCGATCAATCCACGTGTTTAACATTACAAACGTTACCATTTAGGTGTCCAGGCCATGACGATCGTTAAAAAATCTCGTTTAGTGACACGTGTCAATTAATTTAATTTTAAAAAAATTAATGTTATATATATATTAAAAAAATCTAAAAGTTTCTCAAATCTTGATAAAAAATCCAAAACTTTAAAAACCCTAATTCTAATCTCTATATCCACGTTGTCCGACACTGTTTGTCGTTGTTATCGTCGATCGAGCCTCCACCGGAACCTCCAACTAACGAATAGTCAAACCTGATGACCCAAAACTCAAAAACCCAACAAGGGAATTGAATTCTATCATTTAATGGAAAGTTGAAGCCATGAAGGATTCCAATTCCCTTGAAAAACTTGAACCAATCATGGGAAATTGGTGGAATTGGATTCCAATTCCCCCTAATTCCAAGGGATTCATGCCAACCAAACACCACCTAATATCCCAGTTCAAGAAATTATATATAAAAAGGCTTAATATAGAAATAAGTGCCTAAATTAAACACTTTTTCTCATTTTTGTGTTTAAATTTTTTCCGTCAATCCACGTGTCTAACTTTACAAACCTTACCATTTTAGGTTTCTGGACCGTGACGACCGTTAAAAAATCTCGTTAAGCGACACGTGTCACATTAATGTAATTTAAAACAATTAATGTTATATATATATATATATTAAAAAAACTAAAAGTTTCTCAAATCTTAAAAAACGTCCAAAACTTTTAAAAACCCTAATTCCAATCTCTATATCCACGTCGACCGACACCGTTTGCCGTCGTTTTTGTCGACCTAGCCTCCACCATAACCTCTAACTAACGAATAGTCAAACCTGACGATCCATAACCCAAAAACCCGACAAACAACCGGCGAAGGCTAAATCAAACCGACAGACCAACCCTTGAAAAATTCGATACCCAGGCGACCCGATGACGCTCGTGAATGTTAGGGCGACAACAACCGACGATGGAGATGTCAAGGGTTGCAGAGACAGCAGTGATTGTGGATATGATAAGATTAGAGTTAAGGATTTTAATTTTTTTGGGTAATTTTAGAGAAATTAAGGTTTTTTTTATTAAATATAATAATATTTTGAAGTTTTTTTTAAAAAATTTAAAATAACCAAAATACGATACATGTCTCTTAACGGAATTTTCTAACGGGAGTTATGGTTGGGGCACTTAAAATAGTAACGTGTATAGCATTAGACAACTGGATTGACCGAAAAAAAAAATTAGACACTAAAATAGGAAAAATGATATAATTTACACTTATTTTTACATTAAGAAAAAAAAAACAGGTTCAATGTCTTCACATATGAGTTGAATCAAGATCCCACGAACAATTAATGTCAGTAAACAACATTTTTAACAACTATCAAAATATTTAATACTAATATCAAAATATTTTAATCTACCAACATATATTATCCATACAAAATTTCCAAAACTACACCAAAATATGTAAATATATATCAAAATGTTTAACACTACACCAAAATAGGTTAAATTTATTAAAAATAATTTATTAAAGAAATATGGTTTAAGATTATTTAAACAGTAAATGAATAAAATCTTCTTGTAATGATAGAAAAATAATAAAGTCATCATGTGTTGCGATTGAAAAATAAGATTTTCTGGAAAAAATGTTGTGAATGGTCATCGCTAGAGATTTAAATTACAATTGTAGTTGTGTTTGCGTTTGCGGTTAAGTTATATTTATCACAATTACGAACATAACATACTTGATTACAATAATTATGAGAATTGTTATCGTGTATTAACGGTATCGAACGACACCGCTATCATTACTTCGTAAATTTCTAAATCATATGTTAAATTGGTTTTAGAGATTTATGAAATATTGCAAATGTATGATTAAAATTACTACGTTAAATTTAAGTATAATCAAATAAAAATTGAATTTAAATAACTATAAAAAGTTTTGTGTTGGGATCAAAGGAGAATATATCATATGAGTAAGTAGACCGTTGAAAGATAATCGGACTAAATATCTTTCAGTTTTGCTTACGTCATCAGACAAAGAATAAGGGGAAAATTGAACCCTTTATTCATCTCTTGTTTTCCTCTATCTTTGCTCCCATATTTTACTTCCTCTAAAGCTTAAGGGTCGGTTTGTTTAACGTAAAATATTTTTAAAAAACGTTTTTATCACTTTTCAGTGTTTGGTTGGAATAAAACATATTAGTCAATGTAAAATATTTTCCTCATTAACAGAATTTATTTTGTATTTTGTGGAAAATGACTTACGGTTTAATTTTCTGTAAGCCATTTTTCAAACTTTTCACTTCAAAGCATAAATACTCAAAACAGTATTATTTTATAAATTTAATAATAATATGATATTTTAGTATCATTTTAATAAAAATATTAATTATTAACATATTTAAAATATATTTATTAATAGTTTTAATAATATAATATAATAATAATAACATTACAATAATATACTCAATTATATTATAATAATATATGATATTATTATATTCTTATTTTAATAATATATAATAAATTATTAATAAAATTTATATTATTTAATAATTTCTTAAAAATTATTATTAATATTAATATAATAGTCTAATAATATTATAAAAACTCCTTAAAATATATTTATTAATAATTTTAAAATATAATATAATATTTTTATTCTTATAGATATTCAATATAATTTATCATATTTTTATTTTAATAGAATATACTAGAGTTAATATTTTTATTTATAAAATTATAGAAATAATATTTTAATAATAATATTGGCATAAATAGTATTAAATAAATTATTATGGTATTTTTAAAATAATGATATTTAGTTTTTATAATAAATAATATTATTTATTATATTTTATATTTGCAATAAATAATTTCTAAAAAATTTATCAACTAGTGAAAAATGATTTACACAACTTCTTCCAACATCATAAAACATTTTCCAAAAAATGTTTTCCAAAATATGTAATTCATTTTACGTAAAACATTTTCTGAAAAATATTTTCAGTGAAACAAATTGACCCTAAGTAGAAGCATCAAAGGAGGCATTTTTTGTGCTAGTAATATCATCCAAAATTGATAAACATAAGAGTGTTCATTGGAAGATGGAGTTAACAAGTTTGGAGTTTTAGAAAGGTTAATAAAATCCAAAGGGGTTGTGGATACAAAGAGACAATGTAGGATGGTGTTCAAGTTGAGTAAGTATCCATCGTGAAATTTTATTCATGTCAATCTCATATACAAAAAATTTACATTATTAGTATATATATATATATATATACCTTAAAATGTATTTATAGATTCGTCACTACGAAGAGAGTATTCGTGACTCAACATCAAACAAAATAATAGAACCATAGTGTTACTTTAATGGACCCATGTTTGGGAGATCATTAACAACGTTCAAAACTTATTCCATGGAGAAGATAAGAAACTATAAGAAAAGATAGATTAAATATTTATTTTAATTTTTTTAATTATTAATAGTGCATATATTCCTTACTGATACATCCGATTAAATCTAAATCTCTAAAAGATTTTTTTTTGATTGAGTAGAAATATATTATATTTTCAAGACAAATGTCATGATTCATCTTATACAAGATTAAATAATATGAGCATTTTTTATTATTCAATCAACTAATGGATCTCTTTAAAGAGAATTTTATTATGCGTAATCACACAATTCACTGTTACATATGGGCCTTGAAAATGACTAAAACAGGCCACTCTAACTCGGTAGCCCAACTCAGTTACACTTTACAAGTAGGGCTGCAAAAATGGCGGAAATAAAACCCCGCAAATTCCCACGCCTCGCTGACAACAACATCTCACTTCCACTCTCCTGCTTTCAGCAAGAGAAACCCTGTATATGTGGGGAGGCAAAAAATAAAATAAAATGAGAGGGCAATCGATTCTCCGTCCATTTCTTCTCCGTCAAGCGTACAACGTCCACTCTATTTCGTCTTCTTCTTCTCAGATTCCTCTTACTCAGAGTAGCTTAAACTCAGCCTCTGAGAAAAGCCCTTCAATCCCCAAAACCCCATTCTCTGTTTGGAGCCCCCGAAATCCTAGTCTCTCCCGACCTTTCTTGGACATTTCTCCGGATTTTTTCAAACCATTTTTCCTCGAAGACGTGCCGGGTATATTTTATTTTAACTATCTTTGATTTTTCTCCCTTTGAACATCGGAAAAAGGAGAAAACTTTTTAAATGTAATTTGGTTCTTTTGTTTCAGTTCCAGAGAATGTTGTCTCTGTTAAGACGGAAGAAGAGGTCGATGCCGCTGTTACCAGAATTGAAAGCGAATCCGTGCCGGCTGTTCTCTATTTCACTGCTGCATGGTGTGCTCCTTGTAAGTATTTTTGACAATTTTTTTCTTTTGATTTTCTAATATGAAGGCACTGGCTTTTTCATTAATATTTATTGTTTTCCATCTCTTTGTAGGCCGATTCATAGGTCCTGTCATGGAAGAGTTGGCTCGGAGAACTCCTGAAGTAACAATTTATAAGATAGATATCGATGAGGTCAAGAAACTATAATATATATAGCTTCACAATTTACGTAATGATATATTTTTAATCATTGGAAATCATAATGGTGATGTATTGTGTATTTTCAGGCCTTAGATTTAGACATGGGTTTGGGGCTTTGGGCATATTATGCTTTAAGAACACTCCAAATTCCAATTACATGGGAAACTTAGAAAGAAATGAACATACCCATTTCATACATGTACACTTATCACACTGAGTTTGAATAACCAGGGACGGACCATGATTTTATGTTAGTGGGTGAACTTATAAAAAAAAATTTGGGGGACATATTATCAATAGAAAATATATAAATATATGTGAATTTGAAATTTTCAGGTGGTCTCCATCACTGCGAGTAACATAGTTTTCTTTTGTCTTATTGATTTTTATTAGAGACTAAACATTTCATTATTTTAAAATTTACATTTGAGAAACTCTTTTGGATTATAACTATTACTAACTGGAGCTAATGTTATCCGCGTGTTGCAGAAAATCCTTTCTCGCAAACGGGAAGAACTAAATGTTAAATCTGTGGTAATTAAATTTTCTTTTAATTTTGGTCGTTCAATACTCGAACTGCAAGCCAAGCATTTGCTTCCATTTTATATATGGTGGAAAACACTTTTTTGCTATTACTCTCGTGTTCTCTTGAATGATTATAAACCGGTTGAGCATTTGTTGAATAAGTATGATTTCTAGTTTTAGTTTCAAGTGTTGGTTTTGGTTTTATAATAGTTTGAAATTGATTATGCTTGCAATAGTAGTTAGTATTAGTAATTATATAACATGTTTATGTGCATTACAATTATAGGTATATCAGTGGTCAATGTCAAATATAAGATCCATTTTCTTAACGTTTTGAAGTGGTTTCAATATATTCATTCTCAAATTGGATTTTAAGTGCTTGTTCTCTGTTGTCACTGCAATTTAATTGTTCAAATACGACTGCTTGTAGTGTGCTATATTAAGTTCCCAAAGAGTCTTCTCCATTCTTTAAACGAACACAATTATTTGTTCAATTACTAAATTTTCATCTTTGGGTATAGCCAACTATTCGTTACTTTAAAGAAGGCAAAAACGAGGATGAAGTTGTTGGTGCTGATACTTCACGCATAGTCCGTACAATGCAGAGACTTTATAACATGTAATCATTTTTCGCTTTCTACTTTCTTATTTTGCTGCTTTCTTGATCATGCAGTTTATACATTTAAGATTCTTTAGATGTTTGATATAATGTTTAATGAATTATCCGATTCTTGTATTCTGTTTGAACTTGTTGGTTGCATTTCTGCCTTTTCTATTGGTTGGAGGCAAAATAACTGGAAAATGTATAGTGTCTATTTTGCTTTCCTAAAACATTTATAATTTTGATATTGTTTATCCGCTGTTTCGTTCTCCAGGATTGATCCAAAGAAGGATGATGATTTAAAAGATGTAAATGAATCATTCAAAGAAGAGGTAAATGAAAAGGTGATGCCTGATGAAGACGACAAAGCCTTTTCTCAAGCAGTGGAGAAATTTTGTAAAATGTAATCATTCTTGGCTTTCTACTTCCTTATTTTGCTGCTTTCTTTAACATGCACTTTATAGTCTAGGGGTGAGCATCGAGTAAACAAATTTCGAGCTATTCGAATTGACGAGTCCGATTTTATAACTCGAAGTTGACTTGAAATTTTTTTAGTCGAGTCGAATTTTCGAGTTTCTGTTTAAATTTAATTATAAATATTTATAATATTATGATATTATTTTATTATAATTGAATTGGTTTTTTATAACATATACAATATATGTATATTTCTTCATATTTTTTTCATATGTGATATACATATATCGTACAGAGTCGAGAGACTCGATTCAAATTTGAAAATTGATCTACTAATTACTAAAAATTTTGAGTCATTCAATTTACTATTCAAGTTGTATTTTACAACTCGATTTGAACTTAAAATATTTTCAAGTCGAGTTGAAAAAAATCGGTTTTTCGAGTCGAGTCCTCACCCATACTTTATACATTTAACATCCTTTAGATGTTTGATATAATGTTTACTGAATTATCCGATTCTTGTATTCTGTCTGAACTTGTCGGGTTTTGGATTTCTGCCTTTTATATTTGGTTGGAAGTAATATAACTGGAAAATGTGTAGTGTCTATTTTTCTTTCCTAAAACATTTATAATATGATTTTGTCTATCCACTGTTTCGTTCTCCAGGATTGAATCGATTGATCCAAAGAGTGGTGGTGAGTCAAAAGAAAAGGTAAATTAAAAGGAGATGCCTGATGATGAGTTCCCAGCCTTTTCTCAAGCAATCCAAAAGGGGAATAAAGGGTGTTAGGATTTCCTTATGTTGAATGATTGTTAGATTTTATTTTGAAGAGTAGGCTCGTAACTGAGTTTACCGGTCAAGCACGGAACTTGGTCGAGTAGAATTGTAAGGTGAGATACATAGTTATGATATTTTTATGGTACGTGCAGTTTGATTTGTTAATATCTTTGGAAGTTCACAGACGCAGACTATTGTTATGGTAATGTGCAGGTTGATTTTGCAAAGTAAATCGCCCTTCAATTTCTGAGATTCCAAACCAGGGAATTAAATGACATGCTTGTGTACTTGAACAAAAATAGTAGTATCCTGCTCAGTTATAGTAGAGTCAAACTCGCAAGCCGAGTTCGAATACTTCATTACTCAATTAAAGCGGCGTCTGTGATTAATTAAGGCTTCTTTATTCTGGTGGGGTGGCTAAGTGATTTCTCTTTCATTTATCTAATCAGCTTACATAAAGCTATTACAGTTTACACCAAATACGAATACAGGTAGCCGCGCGTTGTGTTGCTTTATCTGTCAATATACTTAAAGCCTATTGGTTCTCTTGTTGCTAGTTTGCGGCTCTCCTATGTAGAGCTGGCAAAAATACCTTATTAAATTAATATCACTAATCACCACCATGAAAGCCTTGAGCTTTTATTAAAAAAAAATTAATAAAGTATCCCTTTTCTCGTTCTTTTTTTTTATTCTTAAAAAATATTTTATACATGATTTTTCGAATTTGTGGGTTCAAGCTCATTATGTCTCATTTTGTTTTGTGTCTAAAACTTATTCTGAAAAAATATAACTTAGAAAATTCAAATCTGGACAGCTTCTTAAATCAAATTATTAAATTTGTTTATTCCACTGTTAATATAACAAATAACAATAAAATTCTAAAACCAGTCGTATCGTTTACATGTTTACATCCACAAAGGCATTTACAGTACGGACTTCCTTAAAGCACCAATTTGACAATGCAATCCTCCCGACTCATCTTTTCTTCCACCTGCCAAAAACCCAAAACCAGCAAAAAGACCTACTATTATTGTTCTAGCACTCTGTTAGGATCACCGGATCCGGCACGGCATAAACCAACACGATCACGACATGAATACACTAAAAGTGTATACCAATATGAATTTATAATATAGAGAGGGAGAGACGGACATAAGGTTCGTGAGATGTAAGTTAAGAAGTTATATTATAAATTTAAGTTGTAGAAAATTAAATTCGTCAATAAAAAATTCAAATATAGAAATCTTACTGTTTAGAGGAGGAACTGGTTACCGGACAGCCCAATACATCATAATGTCCATAACCATGATAGAGGACTTTGATGGGGTTGTCCGTACCATACTCTTGACCATATTCTGATATAATTTTGAGGCTTCCACCAGACTTCTTATCCTTCATGTAAACTGATATGGCCGTCCTGTTGTTCATACAAATTCACAAAATAACAAAGTTTACGCGACTTGTATACATATTGATTGCACAAACTCGAAAACAAGTTTGGTGCCATGAAGCTAAATGAAGAAGAAAACTCACTTCAGCACATGTGCGCACATGAGCAGCTCCGGTTCTCCTCCCCAAATGTGAGGTTGTCTCATTCGCCCGACGTATTTGTCGAAATCACCCTCGACGAACCTGCCGAATGGATCGAGATTTCACTTGCCTGTAAGGTTTGATGATGCAGAAATTCCAGGAAGATGCTTACCATTCGGTGTCCGCACGCCTCTTGATGAATTCGTCCGCAACCTATTCGAACTCGAAACATGTTATCTTTTATCACAAAAGAAAAAATAATCAAAGTAATGTGCCTATACCAGACATGGATATGAGCTATGATCCTTCATGCATATTGACAAAAATCTCAGAAATGGAATCAGCTGGCAGATTAATTATGAAAACAAACGTACTTTAGCTCTAAGCTCATCTGCAAGAGCTTTCTGAGATCTCTCACTCGGAGACCGCTTCCCGGACCTCAGCCAAGCACCGTGAATCACCGACCGGAACAAACATCTACCGTCACCTGGAATGCCTGCATTCAACAACAAAGCAAGAAAATTGCAATCAAAATACAAAAATCATCGCCATTGAAGATAAAGGAACGAATCTAACTTTAAAAAACAAATTAATCAAAGAATCTGTAACTGAAATTCAGGTAGAAAATTACCAATCCAAACCTCCTGTTTAGGCATTGTTTTCTCCTTTTGTTTCTTCAATCAAATTTAGCTATAAAATGTCTACTGGTGAATACTCGAAAGAACAAAAGAAAGTTTAAAATAAATGTTTTTCCTTACACACGGGAAGAATGTCTGACACGTGGTGGATTCAGCATTTCGCCATGTTTGAAAGGACAATAGATTGTGGGGACCACCGATTTACGAGTGCATGTAACGGTTAACTATTATCCCGCTAAATTTCATAGCTGCCGTTCGTGTTACCGTTACATTAGCGTAATACGAGGATTGATTTTATTACCACCAATTTACGAGTACGTCAGCAGACATAAATTTCTTCGTCGTCTTCTTCTATTGAGGGATGTTTTATTTTTGACCTAGCTTCAACAACGAGCAACTAGAATGAATTGCAGAAAACGTCCATTGCACACTTGGGGAGTGTCCGCCATTGCTATCTCTCACAAAGCTTACATCAAAGCTCAAGACTTGAATGAGCCGCTAACGTTAATGGCGAAAGCGCTTCTGTCGTTAACAACGCATATGGTTTCCTATATTGTCCATGGCCTGCAAAATTTCTGGTTGGCCATCTTCTTCTTCGTCGATGATTGTATCTTAGCAGTCGAGAATCTGGTCGAGACCCTTTTTCCGTCGTCAAAACGTGCTTTCGACAAGGTCGACGAGGTCGTCGAAATCATCGAAGCTCTCCCGGAAAAATTTGATGATGTTTTAAACGAATTCCCTGTGATTATCAAGAAAGTTCCGTTGCTGAATTGGGGTTTATGCTTTACAGTCTCGTGGATGAAGCTCTTGACATCGATGTTAATGAGTGGGGGATCTGAAAACACAAGAGAAAAGGAGATTATTGTTGATACAGCTTACGATAAGTCCAACAATGGCGGTGTATCCGAACCGGAAACTGATCATTATGAAGCAAAGATTCACACGAAATCTGTTAATGTTGGCCGCAGATCGGAAGTGAAACTTCCTATAGAATCACTTAATGTCGGTGGTGAATCTAAAGCAGAAATATACCGCAATGAAGCAAAGCTCCCCATAGAAGAATCTTTCAATGTTACTGATCATAACGAAACAAAACTCCTCACGGAATCCTTTAATGTTTCCTGCATATCAGAAGCAGAAACTGAGCATAATAAAGCAAAGCTCCTTATGGAATCTCTTAATGTCGATCACATATCGGAAACGAAAGCGAAAACCAACCACGACGAAGCAAAACTCTCCGAAGAATCGGACACTATTCAAAACAATGCAAAGCTCCTTGTAGAAGACCGCGATGTTGTCTGCATATCAGAAGCAGAAACTGATCATAACAAAGCAAAGCTCCTTATAGAATCTCTTAATGTCGATCACAAATCGAAAGCGGAAACTGATCAAAACAATGCAAAGCTCCTTATAGAATCTCTTAATGTCGATCACAAATCGAAAGCAGAAACTGATCAAAACAATGCAAAGATCCTCAAAGAAGACCGTAATGTTGTCTGCATATCAGAAGCAGAAACTGATGACAATGAAGCAGATCTCTCTATAGTATCAGAGGGGGAAATTGATCACAATGAAGTAGAGCTCTTTATAGTATCGGAAACGAAAATCAATGACAACGAAGCAAAGCTCCCTGTAGAGTCCCTTAATATTGAATGTGTATCAGAAGCGGACAATAAAGTAAAGGTCTTGACAATATCAGAAGTAGGTGCCGATCATAACAAAACAAAGCTTCCTACAAAATCCCTAAACGTTGACAGAGTATCAGATGTGAAAATTGATCACATTGAACCAAAGCTCTCCACAGAATCCCTTAGTGTTGACCACGAATCAAAAGCAGAAATTGATCATAGCAAAGCAAAGTCCCTTATGGAATTCCTTAATATTGATGGTGTATCAGAAGAAGAAACTGATCACAATGAACCAAAGCTCTCCACGTTATCAGAAGCAGAAACTGATTATAACAAAGCAAAGCTCGCTACGGAATCTCTGTATATCGATTGCGTATCGGAAGCAGAAACAAATCACAACGAAGCAAAACTCTCGACAATATCAGATTTGAAAAGTTATCAAAACAAAGCAAAGATCCCCACAAAATCTCTATATGTTGGCAATGAAATAAAGCCCCTCACAGAATTCCTTAATATTGATTGTATATCAGAAGCAGAAATTGATCACGATGAAGCAAAGCTCTCTATAGTATCAGAAGCGGAAATCGATCATAACGAAACAAAGCTTTTTGCAGAATCCCTTAACATTGACAACATATCAGAATCGAAAATTGATCATAATGAAGAAAAGCTCTCCATAGTATCAGAAGCGGAAATTGATGGTAGCGAAACAAAGCTCCTCACAGAAACCCTTAATGTTGACTGCATATCAGAAGTGAAAACTGATCACAATGAAGCAAAACTCTCCACAAGATCCCTTGATGTTGGCTACGAATCGGAAGAGGAAACTGATCGTAATGAAACAAAGCTCCCCACAAATATTGGTTGTGAATCAGAAGCAGAAACTGATCATAATAAACCGAATATCCTCAAGAAATTCTTTAGCTTTGGCCGCATGTTAAAAGCAGTAACTGATCACAACGAAGGAAATCTCCCCACAGAATCCCTTAATGTCGGTCACGAATTAGAAGCAAAAACAGAAGCAGATCATAATGAAATAAAGTGCCCTGCAGAATCCCTTAATGTTGATCGTGGGTCTGAAGTGGAAACTGATCAAAACAAAGCAAAGCTCCCCATAGAACCCCTTGATGTTGGCCGTGAACCAAAAGTAGAAAGTGATCAGAACAAAGCAAATCTCCTCACAAAGTTCTTTAATTTTGGCCGCATGATAAAAGCGGGAAATGATCAGAAGGAAGGAAATCTCCCCACAGAATCTCTTAATGTTGATCATGAATTAGAAGCAGAAACAGAACACAACAAAGCAAAGCTCCCTACAGAACCCTTTAATGTCGGTCACGAACTAGAAGCGAAAACTAGTTTTGATGAAGCAAAGCTCCCAACAAAATCCCTTCATGTTGATGACATATCAATAGTAGGAAGTGATCAGAATGAAGCAGAACTTCCTACAGAATCCCTTCAGTTTAACCAGGTATCAGAAGCTAAGGTCGATCACAACGAAGCGAAGCTCTACACACAATCCCTTAATGTTGGCGATGTATGGAACACACAAATCGATCATACAGAAACAAAGCTTCACACAGAAGCCCTTAATTTTAGCCGCACGTCAGAAGTGAAAACGGATCACAACGAAGTAAAGTTCCCCACAATATCCCTCAATCTTTTCCATCTATCTGAAACGAAAACCGACCACGACAAAGCAAAACTCTCCTCACAATCCCTTGATGTTTGTAGTGTATCAGAAGCGAAAATTGACCATTACGAAGCAAATCTTCCCACAGAATCCCTTACTTGCAACCAAGTATGGAAACCGAACAATAATGTCAACAAAATAAAGATCCCCACATTATCCCTTAATTTCGGACGCATATCAAAAGCAAAAACTCATCACAAGAAAGCAAAATTCCCCTTAGAATCTCTTAATGTTGGCCATGGCTATCATCAAAAGGTTAAAAAACCAGATAATGAAGCAGCAAAAAAGGTTAGTAAGTTGGTTAATGCAAGTACATTCAAAGGAACGTACAAGGACGCATTGAAATCGAAAGTGCCGTACAAGGATGCATTAAAATTGACAAGATCGTATAACGACTTACTAAAATCGACGGGATCGTATAAAGACGTATTGGAGAGGGGAAGCAGAGAAAACGTTAGAGAAAGGAAAAACAAGAAGAGGATGAAAAAAGTGGGAAGCCAGCCGGTATTGATGTGGTGAAGATGACTCCAATTGAAAAAGACGGCATTGCAACTGAAGATTAATTGATTATTTGATTTCTGGATGGTCCTTTGAAGAATTGTCCAGTAAAAACCGCCATAGAAGCTCACTTCAAGCTCTTTTCCATTCCTGTGAGTGCTGGCAATCGGGGGGGGGGGGGAATAGCAAAGAATTTTACCTAAAAATCTAATCCAACCACAAGATGTTTTATATTATCATACGAAACTGAATCATAAATTTCATCAACCGTGAGAGATTCGAGACTATATAAAATTATATCTTCAAAGATCGATTAAAAAGGGGACAACGAACAAGACAGAAATAACCCTAAATCCTATTTATCATATTTAACTCCTTTGGTCGCTAAATCTGAGACAGTTTCTTTAAATACAATTAAGTGATTGTACCTTCAACTAAACAATGAGAATAAAGACATTGCTTCAAATGCAATTTTTTGATATGCATTGTTGCTCTATTTTCAACCATAATGCAACGACGATCTTCTCATTCAATATGTACTGTTGAATTTCATTTAACAAGTGTAAATGTAATTACGATAGTCTTTTGATTCTTGCGTTACTTTTCTTCAAACATTAATGTGGAAGACATCTTATCTTACCCTAATAGGGGATCATTCAAATTAATTTGCACTAAAACTGCATGCATCTCACCTACCATAACATAAATCTGATGTTACGGTTTAATAGTAAAATTTCATACTTCAATGATATTATTATTGTGATTGAGACAAACAAACGCTTTAATAACAATTTGTTAGAAGATAACGGTAACTATGGTCATCACACAATAAAATATATATCAAGTATTTAGGTGAAAAACCAATTGAGAAAAACCATAAGTAAAAGAAACAAATTTATTTTAATATCGAAAGAAGAATAATAAACAAGAATTTAGAAGGAAAAAACTTGATATTTAGCTATAATCTTTACTATTTACTTATAGGGATAATTAATTATAAAATATACTTATTTAATATAAATATATTTAAATTAAATCTTTTACTTTTTAATCAATATAAAAATGATCATATCTTTTTTTTCTAAAAAAATAATCACGTCCCTTATTTTCTTCAATATTTTCTTGATTTAATATCCTCATAATATTTTTATAAATATTAATTAAATTAAATTTGAATGGAACTCTACCGTACCCATTATATGCATGTTAAACAATTTCCTAATTCAATGTATTATTAGTGATAATGGCAAATCATTAAAACTAAATTTAAGTTTAAAATTTATAATATTTTCAATTCATTGATGGTGGGTACATACATTCCTAATGCATCAAATATCATCAATCCAAATATATAATATCCAAGTGGAGCTTTTGAAGATGAATCTAACCCTTAATTATGGCATACATAAAATACATGTACTTCCTATCCATAACTTGAAAAAAAAAGAAGCCAAAAATCCTTAGAATACAAAGGGCCTGTACATTTCTGCTTCTCTATTATAACCCCCCCCCCAAAAAAAAAAAAAAAAAAGAGAGAGAAAATACTGTCCATTGGAACAGGACATGAGAACTAGAAAAGAAGATACAGTGGGAAATCTACATTAGCTTGCAAACACTTTTAACACTGGGAAACAGAGTAGCTCTTGCTCTTCCATAGAAAGCTCAAGGCTCTCCCCATTTTTTTCCTCGATGCCGACTTACACTGTGGGTTGGATTCTTGAGCCGCTGCTGGTGTGGGCATGGGATCCTCACTGGTTTCTATACTTGGGTCTGCTTGTGCTGGAAGATGATCTCGTTGCCGCTGCTCACGAAAGAGCATCAGAAGTTTTTGTGACTTCTCCCTCCCTCTTGTCGTTCCGTTCACGGATATTGATACCAATGCTGGAATCACACCTTCTTGTAGAACCATTTGACTGCATTTCTCGTCTCCACTACAAAGATGTAGAAGGCATGAAACGGCTTGCTCTTGCTCAATCAATTCCCCAGCATCCAAAACAGATGCTAGACCACTTATGAGACCAGATGCTGACATTATCTCGGATTTTCCAGCTTGACTTGACGCTAAATTTAGTAAAACTGCAATAGATTTCTCTGTCCAAGCTTGGTCACCGGAAACCACAAGTGGCTGTAGGCCATTGACTATGCCGGCAGAAAGAAGGCTCGGGATATTAGAGTGCATGGTAGAGAGGTTATATAGGGTGTGAAGTGCATCGAGCTTGCATTGCAGATCAGTCTCACCTCCAAGTAGCTGGACTAAAAATGGGACAGCCTTACTTGAGCCTATGATAGACTTGGCTTGCTCAAGGCAAGAGAGATTAAGATAGAGAGCCGTTGCTGATTCATTGGCATTGGAGTTGGAAAGCATATCTTCCAGCAACAGAATCACTCCAGCTGCTAACATCAATTCCTTGTTTCTGATTTTTTTTAATTAAAAGAAAGAAAATTAAATAAGATTCACCTCGATAATTACATATATATAATTACAATGTTAAATTGAAATAATTAGCAATGTCCATTCGCTTCCTGTCATTTTCTAGGGAATCCTTTCTCCTCCAATGAACATTTGGTGTATATCCATTAATGAGTCGAACGCTAAGAGAAAAATTGCTCACAAATATGCATGGTTAGATTTAACTAAGCAAAGACATAAAACTTAAGCAACAAACCTGTTATTGTTGACGGCGAGGTTAAAGAGTGCCATTGCCCCGGTTTCCTGAGCCATTGCATTCCCTTCACGCACAGCTGACTCTAGAAATCGCAGCAATCCTTCAACAAAGCCATTAGCCCCCATAAAAATCCTGGCCTCCTCATCATCTTTCAGCAAAATCCTGATTTGTTCCACGACTTTGCATCTTTTCCTCATGTTCTCTTCTTCATTCAGAACAGATAGCAAATCCTGATATCTCTCTAGCACATTAACCTCATAAACTTCTTCCTGAGGGCATGGAGGCTCATTGTCAGCTTCATTTCCTTCCACTTCTTCAATGGTACCACTCTCCTCTAAAGGACTGACCTTAACCCCTTTTAGGTTACATGAACTGACACTATTCACGGATCTTGAATTTGCAGTCTCAGACTCGGACAAGGCCAATCTCCAATAGTTAAGATCAAGAGACTCCGGGGGACCATCAGGATTAGGAAGTCCATTTTGTTCACACCAACTAGCAATGAGACCCTTAACACAGTAATTAGGAGTCAGAGAGAGATGTGGGAGCTTCTGTTGAGTCTTCGGGCATGTGTCATGGCCGTCACCAAACCATTTCTCAATACAGATCCTTTCATATGTCTGTCCAGAGGCGATTATGACCGGATCATACATGAGCTGTAATGATATCGGACATCGTAATTCTTCAGGTGGAAGGGGCATCTGCCCAAATCTTTTAATATTTGGCTTGAAATTGAAAGAACTGAGCTTCGATAAATGTCGCTCAAATGCCTGGCCATTACCAGCATCCCCTCCATCCTCAAGAGAACCTAGAATAGTGGGGGAACAAGGCGTCGAACCCTGAGAATCATTATCATCTGAAACCTCACTTCTGAACAATTTGGAGTATTTTCTCATGAGGTGCAAAAGATAAGCCACAATAGACTCCTTCCTCTTGTCTTCCTCTGCACGAGCTCTCTCTATAAGCTTCTTAAGGGCCCTTCTTTCTGTTAGGGCTGCTCTAGAGGAAGTTATACCAAGTCTAATAGCAGCCTGGTGAAACAACTCGAGCTCATTATTGTCATTACCTTCATCAAATTTTCTCCCATGCTGGAGTAATGTAATCATTTCATCGCCAACTTGCTTCTCAGATGCATCGAGTGAGAAAACAGTCCCCTCTAGTTCACTTACAATCTCCAAAATCTGAAGCCAATAATTTGGAATACCGTCAGTATACAGAGAAAAGAACAGTGGAAGGATCATATTGCAGGGACATGATATACGTATATTTAAAAAAGACTTTCTTGCTTTTAACCACAAGCAATAGAAATTATAGAGAAGCTCTTAGATAATGTTAGACAAAAAAACCAACAGCACAATGACAGAAACTGCATTTAGATAAAGACCCTTATGCCCAAAAATTAACTAATCTTTTCAACATCAACCTGTTAAGGGGAAATTATTACCTGACATCCAATGGACTGAGGAACTATATCTTCTACACGCCTAAGACTGTCGATAAGAGCACATTTTGCCTTCTCAAATTTTAAAAGAACAGAATCTCCAGTGATAGCCTGCATAAGAACACCACCATGATTAAACATTCTCTAAGAGAAAAAAGAAATGGTTGAAAACAACCACAACACTGAAAACCATTTAGTGAACGTATCAAATGAATGTAAAAACTACTCTTGAGGGAAGAAATACATAAAAAAACAAAATTACGTGTTTATATCCTGTGTCCATGTGTGCACGACAGAAACTCTTACCAAGTAAAGTTTACTACATGTTGAACAGTGTTGAAGGACATTTTTCGCCTTCTCTAGTGCCATATGCAATGAGCATAATGCCTGAATGCCAGATTTGCTCCTAGGCCGTGCTGCTTCCAATGACGGGAATATGGATATGATTTTGCAATAAATTGCAGAAAGTATCTTCCACATTTCTCCATGTAACTGCATAAGAAAAAAATCGAAAAGAAGTAAGAAAACTATGAATATTAAGCATGATTTGTTTCTTTGTCCTAAACACATACAGAGGCACAAAACAAGATTCAAGCATTAGAAGTTAGAACTAGCCGGAAGTAAAAGGCCTTTGGTTTTAAGAATAACGGGTGAAACAGTGAAAAAAGTAAGTGAGAGAAGCTCCAGCTTCTCTCTAACCTAGGAGATTTCAAATTTCAAAATTCCAGGGGCAGAGGGAGAGAGAGAATATGAGTGATGTTTAACAGCCTTCTCCATCGTCGTCCGTCGCTTGCCATCCACCTTCTGTCGCTTGCCGTCCGCCGTCCTCCGTACTCCGACCACCGTCCGCCGCCGCACATCGACCTCCTTTTGACGCCTTTTTTTTCTTAAGGATCATCGTCTATCCATAGAGTTTCCTTTTTCCTGGTTTATTTCGATTGATTCCCCTTCAATCGGAGCAAATCTAAATGCCTTTCTTCGCCGATTTTTCCATCAGCAGTCTTCAAAGTTCGTTCCAGCTGTGCAAACCGGAAGCTCGTGACAAAATCCCAAGTATTAAACTGTGAACACCCACTGCCGTTCACCGGAATTTTACCATCACTGTTCAGGAGCTCTATTCAGAACGCTGCTGCTGGTTCTGGGTTTTCAAGCACGTTGTCATAAACCTTTTCATCTCTGGTTTTTTTGGTTCAAAATTAAATAGTTTGGAAGCCTTTGCATTCAAAATGACGTTCAAGAATCGCGACGAAGCAAGAGAGAAACGGGCTGAAACCTCAGCTCGTCAGACTAAGAATAGTCGTCAGTCCGAGATAGAGGAAAAGGAGAACGTAAATCCTTTGAAAAAACCAGATGTTAAGACGAAACGGGTGGATTTTATACTGTCGAAGGTGACTGAAGCGGAGCATCAAAATCAGAGAGATGGGCAGCAGACAAAGACTGCATAAATCAGAGGAGGCGAGGAAGAAGCTGAGTAGTACAGTGGCAGCGGAAGAATATGAGAGGATGGTGTTGGTGACAAAAAAGAATAGGAATGATTCGTTGGTTGAAGCAAGGAGTGTGGAAGGGGCCATTGCGCAGATTTCTGAGGCGGAAATCCTTCCTCAGGATTCTCACGTTTTTAACTACTGGAGGAAGAAAGATTATCCAAGAATCAACAATGGGTTTAGAACTAGCTGTTTTACGTTATACATTGATAATTTACCAGAGAATATCCATTGGAAGCGGTTTGGATCGTTATTTTGCCCATACGGTCAGGTTATTGACGCCTTCATTCCAACTAAAAGAAATTCAAAGGGGGTACGTTTCGGTTTCATTCGCTTTGCTACAATTGGAGAAGCACGGAGAGCGATCTCAAAGATGAATGGCGCTCGCATTGATGGTAGTAAAATTGGAGTCTCTTTTTCTAAATACAACACAAGACATTCTTTTTGGAGAAAGTCTTCGCCAGTTGTCCACCTAAAGCCCGAGAGAGAAAATGTTACAAGAAATAATCTCTATACAGTAAATGGTGTTGTTGACGAAGCTAAACTTCAAGTTTTGGATAACTGCCTAATAGGGTGGTGCAAGAATTATACCAAAATCGGTGATCTTGCTAGCCAAATGCAAGACAAAGGACTCAACGGTTTCTCGTTAATGAGAGCTGCTGGGAATGTAGTTCTCATGATATTCGAGGATTCTGATACGTTGAGAAGGGTTAAGAATGAACAATCAGAGACTCTTGCAGGGTGGTTTTCTAGAGTTGAAGTTTGGTCGGAGAATCTAGTGGTAGAATGCCGTCGAGTATAGGTAGTTTGCGAAGGGATTCCTTTTCACGCGTGGAATTGGGGTACTTTCAAGAACATTGCGGCTAGGTGGGAATTAGTATCAATTGATGAAAGCTCTCAGTTTCCTTCATCTTTTGATCGTGCAAAACTTCAAATCCTCACAGAGACTAAAGTAAGGATTGATGAGTCCTTGAGTTTGAAGGTCGGTTCTAATTCTTTTGAAATCATGGTGCATGAAGTTGAGCCTTCTTTCAAACCAAACTCTTGGATCCCTGAGGAAGTCGATGATTCTCCATATCTGAATTGTTTTCTCGGGGCAACGTTGGAGAATTCTCTGTCAGGATCGTCAGTGTCATCCCCAGGTTTAAATTGCCCCGTCGAAGATGTTGCAATTGAAGGTCCCCACTTAGAAAAGGTTTCACTCATAAAGAGTGTCATAAGCGATGAGAAACCGAGTAACAAATTGGGGTTGCACAAAATGGAGGCTTTGGATCATTCAAAATTAAATATCGTGGAGCATCTAGCTAATAAATCAGTTGATCATTCTGATGGTGTTAGCCTCGGGGCCTCGGAAGATGCTCTTATGATGGGTCTCATTACTTCTTATGGTTCATCTACTGACACATTTCAATTAAAGGAAGATATCCCAGTGGTGCCCCCTATCCCTGCGAAATTAAGAACTAATCGTGTGGCGAAGAAATGCAAGACAAAGAAAAGAGTTCTGAATTTATTGGCAAGGAAACATTGATTGAAGGGAAGGAAGTGTGGTTTTGGTTCATTAAAGATAATTATCGAGCTGATTTTTTTGGTGATTTTGATACATGTTGGTATTTTTGTGGAGTTCCCTTCAAAGGCGGATGTTTTGGTTTAATGGTTTTAGGTGTTGTTTTTATGTATGTTATGTCATTAAATGTTGGGTTGTTTTCCTATTGGTGGAGGTTTATCTTAGGTATAGGGTGATTGCCTTTTGATTTTTGTGGTCGAGAAGGTGAGAGCTTTAGGTGATTATGTTTTTGTAATGGTGTTTATCCTCGTTTGAGGGTATTTCGTGTTTTCATATGTAATGAGGCGTTTTATTCAATGAAATATGAGGTACTCTTTTCTTCCTTCCTATGTTCGTTAACATACTTCTTAGTATGTGGACGAATACGAAGGGAGTTTTTAATGAGACCTCCAACTTCTATCAAAAAAAAAAAAGAATAACAGGTGAAACACTATAACAAAAGAGATGACAAATGATCAGAACAGATAACTAACAGGCATATCCCTATTATTGTGAAGTTAATTAGAATTAAGAGAAACAAAAACACAGCAAACGTAGAAAAATATCATTTACAATACTTCAAATTTAACATATTCAAATGCTATCAAATTCATACCTTGGCATCACTAGCCACAACTAAGTTCTCTTCAACCTCATCCATAATCTAGCATCCACAGCAAGTACTAAAACGCAAATCTATACCAACTGAAATCCAATAGGAACAAATAGAACAAAGTCACAGATAGGTTAAACTAATCACTAAAATATAGTTAAAAAACAACACAAGAAATTTTCAAATTTCATAGATAACTTCAAAGTTCTATTCCCTTTATATGTTTAACACAAAAACTTCAAGAACAACCCCGTATCATGAATAGCAATAAAAAATTTCCCAACCTCTCTTGGGTGGGACTGCCAATGAAATTAAACTTTATAAACTTCAATTTTGCTAAAAATATGCACCCCAACAAAGCAAATATTTATTAGTATCTGTTCAATAGTTCCTTATAATATACATACATACACACTTTTCAAAAATTTCCTCACCCATATGTTTAATACTGAAAATAGAAGATCACATAAGTGAAGCTGATCGGAAAAAAGACCTCCACATAAAAGAAAAACGCAAGGCAACACGATCATTATTGAAAAACTTTGTGATCTGGACATGATTGAGAAGTCCAAATAAAGCATAAATAAATTAATATAGAAAATAAATAATGAACAACGAAGAGCTTTGATATTGATCTAGACATTTCATCAAACACCGGAAGAATGAACTCGGAGGGAAGACTCATCTCATAATAAAAAAACCAAAAACTTATGATTGGTTTTAAGACGAAACAAACTGATTTAGACATCTCGTCAAACAACTGAAATATTCAAGATTCTCAACGGAAGCAAAAAAAAAAGGGTTAATCAAAAGAGTATTGTTTAAATTTAAAAATAGAATTCAAGATTGTTTAGAAAAATGACCTCATGAAAACCCAGAGATCTTAAACGAGACAAGACACGAGAATCTCAATCAGCTGGAATCGATGTTCCAAAAACAGGCAAAATCCAGAAAACCCACAAGCATCGAAACTGATAGAAATACTAAGCTAACTAAATCAGCTTCAGGGAGAGCGAAAGAAAACGAATTTTCTGACGCAGATGCAAAAAATAGAAACACACCAAAATGAGATTACAGAAACAAAAATAAAAAAGGAAACCTTTCCATTTCAAAGTCAGGCACCGTTAAAATGAACCAGACTGAAAGATCATTTCGGAGATAAACCAACATGAGATTGAAACCGAATTAGTGTTGAACAAAGGAACCTACCGGAAAAAATGGAGACATCCAAGGAGGCTTCTTCATATAAAAGAGCATTTAGAGAAAAATATGAAGACCCAAACAGGGAATCTGGGATTCCGGCGACTCCATTTCTTTGTTCATTTAGGTTTTAGGGTTAAAAACTTCGTCGGCCGAAAACAGTGACTTTCTCAGAGTAGAGAGAGGGAAAAGGTGTGTTTTCAATAGGGGTAAATGGGAAGAAATTGTGGAATATATATTTTTATTTTGAGAGGAATTGGAAATAAAATTAAAAGAAACAACTGTGAGATGCGAAGCAGAGTGAATAACTTTGAGAGTTGAAGATTAATTGTTAAATTAGAAGAAATTAAAAATATTTTTATATAAAAATTGGGGTTCAGATTTCTTCGATTATGGCTCCACTGGTTCGCCGGCCGACAATTGCCGACCTCCTTGTTTGTCGGTTAGCAGATCTGCCATTATTAAATGACTAAGGGTCTGTTTGTTTCTGTAATTGGAATTACGGAATTGGTTTTCTCCGAATTTCCGTGTTTGTTTCACGTAATTTGTTTTTCGGAAAATGTTTTCTCGTATTTGTTTCACGTAATTCGTTTTCCGGAAAACGTTTTTCCGTGTTTGTTTCACGTAATTCGTTTTCCGGAATGTAATTCATTTTCCTAGTAACAGAATTTCCTTTGTGTTTTCTGTAAAATGACTTACGGATTCATTTTCCGTAAGTCATTTTTCGAATTTTTCACTTCAAAATAAATTTATTTTATGAATTTAATATTAATAAAATATTTTAATATCATTTTCATCAAAATATTAATTATTAAAATATTTAAAATATATTTATTAATATTTATAATAATATAATATTATATAAAATAATCAATTATATTATAATAATATAAGATATTATATTTTTATTTTAATAATATATAATAAATTTTTTTATATATTTAATAATGAATAATATTATTTATATATTTCAATAATATTTTAGTAAAGATATTAAAATATACTAATTAATATTTTTAAAATATAATATAGTACTATTACTTTAATAAATAATTAATATAATTTATAAAATTTTATTTCACTAAAATATACCGAAAAAATGTTTAAATAACATCTTCCAAACATCATAAAACGTTTTCCAAATGTTTTCCAGAAATGTAATTCATTTTCCAAAAATGTAATTCATTTTACAGAAATGTAATTCATTTTCCAGAATTCAAATTCCAGTAATTCATTTTCCAGTAATTCAAATTCCAGTAATTCAAATTCCAGTAATTTATTTTCTGGAAAACCAATTACAGCTAAACAAACAGACCCTAAATATCCTTCTAAGATCGTAAATATTTATAAAATAAAATAAAAGGAACTTTTTTTTATTACTCTTCGTCTTCTTTAAGCGGTAACTTCAACTTTTTCTAAAACAAATTGAATGAAATTCATATTAATAAATGTTACAAAATATATTTATATAGAAGAAGTGAGTATTCTGAATTCAGTTGGGTAGAAAATTTTAAATTAGTCGAATTTATGATTATTATTTTCTTTAAGTTAGTCATTGTCAAAAATTAATCTGATATTAATTAAACTATTTTCAATAACAATTAATATTAAAATAAAAATATTTTATTTTATTTTATTTTTATACTTTTATATAATTTATAAATTATAAAATAAATAACTAGAATAATGGCGATTTTCCCGATATATCACCGGTGACCGGTAATATTACGATCTAACACCGGTCAGATTATATTTACCGATCTAACACCCTTAGCAGTAAAGCGCGCGCCATGCATCGCGCTATACGGTGAGCTGGCGTCACGTGGGTATAGCGCGGCCCCTGCAGCGTACTATACCTGTTCTGACACGTGGGGTATAGCGCGGTGCAGGGGACGTGCTATACCCCTAACTACCGACCCCTTCTCCCTATAAATACCCCATTCTCAATCAATTTTATCACACCAAAATCTCTCAAATACTCTTTTTTTAAGGTATATTTTATAATATTTTTACTATTATATTTTTACTTTATTTAATATTTTACTAATATAATTCTTTTGCAAATATATAATGGAAGTCATTCTACTTCTCTCAGATGGAAATCATATATCTCTACACTTTGCTGATACGGTAACATTTTAACGTTTTAATTTAATTTAAATTATTAGTAATATTTAGTTATTTATTTAATGCATGATTATTATATTAATAATTAAATATCTCGACACTTTGCTGATACGGTAACATTTTAACGTTTTAATTTAATTTAAATTTTTATTAATAATTAGTTGATTCATTTAATGCATGATTATTAGATTAAGAATTAATTTTTGTAATTATTTATTTTTAGGAGAAGGACCGTGTATCAGATCCTTTTATTAGGAATCTTAAGTTAGTGATACACAGTCGTGTCTTGCCGTATTTAGTAGAGGCTGGATTCGGTTACATAGGTAAATATCAGGGTCACTGTAAGATATAGCCAGACTTGATTTCTGCCTTAGTAGAGCGATGGAGGCCGGAGACCAACACATTCCATCTTCCGTGCAGAGAGTGCACGATCACGCTTGAGGATGTTTCTATGCACCTGGGGCTTCAGGTGGATGGAGATGTGATATCGGGGATAGCTTCCGGTTCTTGGATTGGTTTGTGTCGGGATAGTCTAGGACGTGTCCCGAAAAATTTTATCGGAGGTAAGATACCATTAAATTGGTTAGATGCCAATTTTCGGGAGTTGAGCACAGACGCCTCTGAGGATGAGGTTAAGATGTATGCACGGGCATGCATACTGCAGCTGATAGGAAGGTTGATGATGCCAGACAAATCGCGCAACCTAGTTCACTGCATGTGGTTGCGACATCTTAGCGACTTTCGTCTCGCCGGATCATTCAGTTGGGGCTCGGCAGTTTTGGCTTTGTTGTACAGGGAGATGTGTGGAGCCACTGACTACAGGCGTAATGCTATTGGTGGATGTCTCCTGCTGCTGCAGTCTTGGTCATGGTATCGATTGCCATTTTTATGTCCCGTTGTGAAGAACCCATTCGTATTTCCACTACTTATGAGGTAATTATAAAACTGATTTTGTATATTAATAATTTTATACAGCGTATAACAAATTTTTTTCCTTGAATAGGTGGTCTACTGATAGGAAAAATCATCAGGAGCTACCTGATGATTTAGAAAAGATTAGGGTGCTAATCGATCAGAAGGCTGGCACACATATATGAATTTTAATGTTTAAAAAATGATTTTAGATTATAGTTATATAATTAGATTATTATTTTGATAAAAATTATATATTATTTGTTTTAGTTTGAATGGGTGCCATATTCTACTGATGATATGAGGGTGGTGATCCCACCTGAGTTGAGGGGTCCATTAGATGTTTGGATGGAGATGGTCCATCTGATCTGTTATGCGACCGTCGAGTGGCACTCCACAGATCGCGTGCTCCGGCAGTTTGGTTGTTTTCAACCAATTCCGGAAGCACCTCGCAATATGGATGAGTTGCATAGCTTAGATAGACGCGGCAAGACAGATACAGATTTGGCTGGTGAGGTATCATGAGTGGGTCGTGTTGTGGGAGGATCGACATCGGCGCCTTCCACGTAGAGAGCCCATTTTTACTGACTTCTTGATGTATGCTGAGGATTATTATGAGTGGTTCAACAGTAACGGGAAACCGTTTCTACTTCCCGAGGATGCACGAGGGCAGACCTTTCCACGACGTCGACAGAGACGTTCACCGACACAGCACCATCATCCCCCGACTCGTGGACAGAGAGCAGGTGCTTCCGGTTCATCCTCAGCTGCACCAGCAGGACCTTCCCAACAGCCACCACAGCCATATATGATGCCGCAGCCATATATGATGCCGTCATCGCCTTTCCATTACCAGATGCCGCCGCCGCCTTCACCCTGTTTTATGACCCCGCCACCGTCACAGATGACCCCTCCTGGAGGCTATTATGGGTCTATGTTTGCAGACCCGACTTGGGGTTCATATGCTGGATATTTGGCGGGTTCAACCTCATCACCCATGGCCGCAACACAGACACCGCCTCCTGTACAGTTTCACACTCAGCGATGTCTGAGTTTTATGACTTTTCCCAGTTTTCGCAGGCCGGTGGGATAGTCAGTCATACACCTCCAGGGTCCTTATTCTACGGAGGTTCTTCATCGTCATCAGCTCCTCATGTACCTGCGCAAGACGACGACAACGACGACGACGATGGTGATGATGATGACAGCGATGAGTCAGAACCAGTGATACGAAGAAATCCTCCTCGAGACCGACAGCCACCGCCCTGCGGAACACATTCGCGTCGCATGCATCGATAGATTTTGTTTTTTTATTATATTTGTATTTACTTTATTTTGTTAAATTATAATGTTTTTATTATTTCTCATTTAATACTTACTTTATTTTGTTTTTAAATGTATTTTAGTTCGTTTTTTTATTACTATTTAATATCATTTATTGTAATTTGGTTATCATTTACCATTTAATACTTATTGTTATTAGTTTGTTAAAATTTAATGATTGTGTTTGTTTTTTTAATCTTCATCGGTGATTATCAAATGACATTAACTTGAAGTAAATGCAAATTAAAGTAGAAGAATTATTATTTGATAATAAAATACATCATTTCCTCATCAATTGTTACTTGATGACAACAGAAGTAGACATGTTTTTCTAGTGTGTCCTGGGTTTCTACAATGCCCACATCTTCTGTCTTGTCTAGATCTTTCTCTAATATCCATATCGCAATGAATTCGATTGGATTTTGGACGACCACGCTCCCTCAATAAACTCTGATTTGGCACAATCGGAAGCCAATATTGAACCTCATCAATGTCTTTGTCATTACCTATGGGGGGAAACTCAAATTCGTATACCTTAAAACTTCAGATAGTAGATATACGGGATCCACAAAATGGTTATAGTCTTGATGTATATACGAGCAAGCTGCTATCACATGAGAGCATGGATACTTCAGAGCTTGAAAAAACCTGCAGTCGCACGTTCTGTCCCTTAGATTTACTCTTAACGACACAGCTTCAATCCCTTGAAGAGGTCGCGGTAACTCTGTGACACGAAACATTTCATGCCTTCTAGAGAAGCTTGTTACAAACATTCCATTTGATGCAGCAATTTTTTTCTGTAGATCTGCAACTAATATAGGGTGATAGACATGACCGCCTT